GGGGGGCGCTAGTTTTGCCTAAGGTGCCGGAAAACCTCGGGCCGGCCCTGCTAAGGAGAGACTTGAGGTTGGGTTCCAAGGTATAGGGCAGGCGTGCTTGTAGAGTCCCAGGTTCCACTCTTGCAGTCTTGCACGAATGTTGCGGGTGCCTAAAACTCCCTGCTCCAGATGCTGTATTCAAAGCTATGTGATGATCCTTCAGAAGCAATCGATGGGCAGAGAGAGAACCCCTCCCGTTCATTCCAGTGACACTCCTCCTTCCTAACCGATGTTTTAATTCCCGTCATGATGTTTTGTGTGCATTTTAAGTTTGGTGTTTTAAAAAGTTGTTTTAGAGGTGTGCGTTTGGGGAGCGGTTGATTGTATTGGTTGTAAAGTGTGATTCTAGCCAACATCTTTTAAATTGTTAGCCGGTTCAGTGGCAGTTAGCTGGTTAGCTGGTTGAAGGCAGAAGGGCAGAATACAAATTTTGTATATAAATAATGAAATATATTTGAGAAAGGGAAGATTATGTCAGAAAAAAGAAGAAGAAGAGGAAGAGGAGGAGATTGGATTTATACCCCGCCCTTCACTGCCCAAAGGTGTCTCAGAGCGGCTTACAAACTCCTTTCCCTTCCCCTCCCCACAACAGACACCCTGGGAGGTAGGTGGGGCTGAGAGAGCTCTGACAGGAACTGCTCTTTTTCAAAGTCAGCTCTTATCAGAGTTACGGTTTGCCCAAGGTCATCCAGCCAGGTGCAAGTGGAGGAGTGGGGAATCGAACCCGGTTCTCCCAGATTAGAGTCCGTGCACTTAACCACTACACCAAACGTTAAAGTTCTTTAGCAATGGGGGAGGAGGAGGAGATTGGATGTATACCCCACCCTTCACTACCCAAAGGAGTCTCAGAGCGGCTGACAAACTCCTTTCCCTTCCCCTCCCCACAACAGACACCCTGTGAGGTAGGCGGGGCTGAGAGAGCTCTGACAGAAACTGCTCTTTTTCAAGGACAGCTCTTATCAGAACTATGGCTTCCTCAAGGTCATCCAGCAGGTGCAAGTGGAGGAGTGGGGAATCAAACCTGGTTCTCCCAGATTAGAGTCCGCGCACTTAACCACTACACCAAACTGGCTCTCAAAAGAGACATCATCACCTTGGTATTTGTCTTACTGATCCTTTGTAGGCTTACCGTCTCTTTCACCTGATGCTCCAGAAAAACTGAAAACAAGTGCAATACGTGTGAACTTTCCTTACTTTCCAGACCAAGATCAACGAAGACTTCACCGTGAAAGCGACCGGGCAGGGCCAGGCCACCATGACCGTAGTGACCATGTACAGCGCAAAACTCCGCGAGGAGGCTGTTCCCTGCAAGAATTTTGATCTGCACGTGGCTGTCACGCCCGTCCAGCTCCGTAAGTCCCAACGGTGGGATCTGAGTAACTAGAAAACCTACATGCTTCCTCTTGAGTTGAACGGCTGCATAATCCCTGAGGATCTGGAGCAGAGCTACTTAAATCTTGATGCAGCTGATGTATATGGAGATGGGAAGACAACGGCAAATCACTTTCTGCTTAATCAGTTCCCCCAAAAACCCTGTGGGGTCGCCAGAAGTCATAAGAACATAAGAGATGCCAATGTTGGATCAGGCCAAGGGCCCATCCAGTCCAACACTCTGGGTCACACAGTGGCCAGAAATACCAGGTGCCCTCAGGAGGTCCAGCAGTGGGGCCAGGACACTAGAAGCCCCTCCCACTGTTGACCCCCCCATGCCCCAAGCACCAAGAAGTCAGAGCATCGCTTGCCCCAGACCGAGAGTCCCTGTATATACCTTGTGGCTAATAGCCACTGACGGACCTCTGCTCCATATGCTTATCCAATTCCCTCTTGAAGCCGTCCATGCTTGTGGCCGCTACCACCTCCTGTGGCAGTGAGTTCCATGTGTTCTAATCACTCTTTGGGTGAAGAAGGACTTCTTTTGATCTGTTCTAACCCGACCTCTCAGCAATTTCATTGAGTGCCCACGAGTTCTTGTATTGTGAGAAAGGGAGAAAAGGATGTCTTTCTCTACCTGCTCTATTTCAGCTGCAACTTTACACACTCACACACGTATGGAGATGGGGCCATCCACACCAGCATTCCTGTACATGAATGCCTTACAAAATCATGGATTGGGAGTACGGTTGCCAACTCTGGGTTGAGACATTCCTGGAGATTTTGGGGTTGGAGCTTCGGGAGGGCGGGGTTTGGGTAGAGGAGGGGCCTCAGAGGGATATAATGCCACAGAGTCCAGCTCCAAAGCAGCCATTTTCTCTAGGGGAGCTGATCTCTGCAGTTTGGCAATCAGTTGAAATACGGGGGGTCTCCAGGTCCCACCTGGAGGTTGGCACCCTTACTTATTTATTATTTATTTATTAAATTTGTACACACACCCCACACACACAGCTATGGCTGGCTCAGGGCGGCTTACAGAAGAATAAAAACGGCAATAAATAACATCGATAATACTAAAAACCATATAAACCATACGAACAATTTCAACATTAAAAGGTGCTAACGGATGACGATCCAATTGCCATTAAGCAAATAGCAGTTTAACATTAAATTTGGGATGGCGCTCTGACTCCAGTGCCTTCCTAGTGGTCGACCCCGATCTAACATTGTGCGGCTGGCTCAGGCTGCTTTGAAGACTGCAGGGAACAGGGTTCTACCCCCAGGGCGGCTCCTAATTGAAGGCCTGGCGGAAGAGCTCCATCTTGCAGGCCCTGTGGAACTGCATGAGGTCTCGCAGGGCCCTGATCTCCTCCGGGAGCTCGTTCCACTAAAGAGGAGCCCACACCGAGAAAGCCCTGGCCCTGGTCGTAGCCAGCCTAGCATCCTTTGGTCGGGGGAGGGTGAGTTGGTGTTGAGGCCCTGATCGCAGTGCTCTCTGGGGAACATGTGGGGAAAGGCGGTCCCTCAGGTATGTAGGTCCCTGAGCATAAAGGGCTTTAAAGGTAAGAACCAGCACTTTGAAACGAATCCGGTATGCTATCGGTAGCCAGTGCAATGCCTTCAGCACAGGCTGGATGTGCTCTCGCATTGGGAGGCCCATTAGAAGCCTGGCTGCTGCATTTTGCACCAGCTGTAGCTTCTGAGTTTGCGACAAGGGCAGCCCCATATAGAGAGCATTACAGTAGTCCAATCTCGAGGTGACCATCGCACGGATCACGGTTGCCAAGTCGTCGTGTTCAAGGATATTCAACCATATACAAATGAGCACTACCGGCTTCAATAAAGCGTTAGATTAGAATATGCGCACCTACTCCGTATGGGAACTTCTCCGCAAGGATTTTTTGTTAATGGGAGGGGTCTTTTGGTGAGCAAGCTAGAGATGAAGTGCATAGCATGCGGACGAATCCTTTTTCACACCGACTCTGGAGTGGAGTGAACGATCTCTTCCGAGGCCCTTCGCACAGCCTGGGTGTTATGCAAAGAGGCTAATTTCTCTTCTTCTCTCAAAACAACTTCTAGGTAAGGCAATAGATGGAGTCTCTGGAGCAATGAAGATCGAAATCTGCGCCAGGTGAGACCGGTGGGCATTGAAGGTAACTCTGGGTCATTATGGCCGTTCAGAGTCACCGAGGGAGAAGCCGCCAGGAGCCCCTCAGAGACCAACAACATTTTCAGGGAACAAACTTTCGAGAGTCAAAGCTCCCTTCCTCAGATACAAGTCGGAATGGAGATCCCTGAGCTCTTATATCCCAGTCAGAAGGTGGGAGAAACAGAAGTTTTTAAGAGAGAGAGACAGACAGACAGAGAGAGGTGTTATAGTTGTTCCTAAACCTGTCTTGCCTTGTATGGATTTGCCTATCCACATGATGCATTTGGCCCACTTGTAGGTTTAGGGTTCAGTCACGACACAACACAACAGATCTCTCGAAGCTTTCTGACCAAGCTCAGTTCTCTCTCTGTCCCAAGCTGCTCTGTCCCTCGAACTGCCTGTCAGTAGCGCTTTATTAGAATCAAGCAGCCTCACACATGGTACAGTGAAAACGTCACATGAAGAAGCCTTTAGCTAGAAATCACAGTGTGTTTCACAGAATGTTCTTTCTCATAGCTCCTGTTATCTTGCTTGAACGTTGCAAAGTTTGTGCTCTCAGTAATTCAGGAGACTCATGCAGGCTTAGAAGACCTTGTGCATTTGCCAATCTCCCGGTGAGAACTTGAGAACTCTCGGGCTTGCCTCACGGGAGTCTTTCATTCCCACACCCACTCACTTTCTTCACAATCCCATGGCGGCTGTGGGAAACTTAATTCCCCAAGTGTTGCCAGGCCTGGTGTGGATCGGGACCACAGTGCTGGAGGAGGAGGGGCATCGGTCCCCCACCACCACTCTGTTTCCCAAGGCAAAACATTCCAGGGCGCTTTTTGCCCTGTTGTGGGGCTGCTTGTGCTCTGAATACTGTATCCAGGGGTCATTTCCTGCGGGAGCGCACAGGAGCGGAGCTCCGGCAGTAAGGAGCCCAGGGGACAGGCACATGCAACAAGCCCCACCCCCTGCTCCCAGCAGCCCTCAGTCAGAGCAAGAAGCAGCCAGGTAAGTTGCAGAGCACCCCCCCGACCTGCCTTCAGGTACAAGCTCTCCCTCCTCTGCGAGGACAGATCTGCACATCCCCCCCCCAGCTAGCAATCCAAAACAGTCCAGTGGCACCTTTAAGACCAGGTTTTATTCAGGTACAAGCTCCCCCTCCTCTGTGAGGACAGATCTGCGTGTCCCCCTCCCCAATAGCTAGCAATCCAAAGCAGTCCAGTGGCACCTTTAAGACAAGGTTTTATTCAGGTACAAGCTCTCCCTCCTCTGTGAGGACAGATCTGCATGTCCCCCCCCCATAGGTAGCAATCCAAGAGAGTCCAGTGGCACCTTTAAGACCAAGTTTTATTCAGGTACAAGCTCTCCCTCTTCTGCAAGGGCAGATCTGCACGTCCCCACCCCCAATAGCCAGCAATCCAAGAGAGTCCAGTGGAGCCTGAGCGGTGGGTGTTGCCTCCTGACACACGTCCGGTGATGTCAGGGGGCGTGGCATGTGCAAATGAGTTATGCTAATGAGTTATCCTAATGAGCTCCTGCACATCTTTTTCTATGAAATGACCCCTGCTGTATTCTGTCGTGTAACCTGGCCCTGGTGGTACGTGGAGGGGATGGAATGAACACCCGTCCCTCTCTGGGCAAAGAAATCCATTCCGAGCGCGTTCCCCCCTCTGTCTCTGACCGCAGGTATCTCCGTGATTCCGATGCCACCATGACCATCATCGATGTCTCCATGCTGACGGGTTACGGGCCAGCCACGGAAGACCTAAAGAGGGTAGGTGGGCCAAGGCATGAAGGGAAGGAGGGGGATATTGAATCCATCAAAGACGGAGGTCCCGCGGCTGAGCCAAGGTGATCCCGGGTTGGGATGCCCACTTCCAGCCCTCGACGGCGTACCGTTAACGCCAAGGCCACTCGTGAAGAGCCCGGGTATGTGTCTTGACGCCTCCCTTTCCGTGGAGGCAAAGGCTGCCCGGCTGGCATTTCCCCCTCTGTGATTGGCCAGTGGCCCTGGGAGACTCTTGAATGGCTGCTCTCCTGTGCTCTGCGGGGCCTCACGTTTTTGTCCTGTGTTTAGCTTTCCGAAGGTGTGGACAGATACATCTCCAGGTACGAAATCGACACCGTCAGGTCTGAAAGGGGGAACCTCATCATCTATTTGGACAAGGTAAATTGGTTCTTCTGTGACCAGCTGCCCAGGTGGAGGCAGGCTCAGGAATCTGCTCTTCTTATCCCCCTTTCCTTCAGACCCACTGGGGCTGCGGGCGGTTGGGCCTCGCTTAGGGTGGGGCGTGGGGCAACCGCTCCTGTCGGCCACTGGCTGGACTGCCTGTGTTTGTGGTGTGACCTACCTAGGGCTGCCAGAAGATGGGGTCTGTCAGTCATTTGGTGAGCCACACCGTATGGCAGGAGGGTCAGGCTGAGTGGGGATCCACAGGTTTGACATATCCAGTTATAGTGCAATGTCAGTCCAAGTGCAGTCAAAGTTTTGGGCACCCCATTTGAGGAAGGATGCTGACAAGCTCGAGCGTGTCCAGAAGAGGGCGACCGGGATGGCGAGAGGGTTGGAATCCAAGTCTTACGAGGAAAGGCTAAAAGAATTGGGAAAGAGAAGGCTTAGAGGGGACTCAATGGCAGTCTTCAAGTATCTGAAGGGCTGTCATGTAGAAGAGGGAGCGGATCTCTTCCCTCTTGCTCCGGATTGCAAGACGAGATCTAATGGGTGGGAATTACAAGGGAGTCGATATACTGGCTAAATATCAGGAGAAACTTCCTGACTGTCAGAGTGGTTGAGCAGTGGAACAGACCGCCTCGGGAGGTGGTGGAGGCTCCTTCGCTGGACATTTTCAAACGGAGGCTGGACAACCATCTCTCGGGTATGTTGTAGGTATGTAGGGCTCTCTTTCGGCTGTGCTCCTGCAGAGTGCAGGGGGTTGGACTAGATGACCTGCAAGATCCCTTCCAACTCTAACATTCTATGATTCTAAGTCTTATAAGGAAAGGCTGAAAGAGTTGGGTCTGTGTAGCCTGGATAAAGAGAAGGCTTAGAGGGGACACGATTGCAGTCTTCAAGTATCTGAAGGGCTGTCATGTAGAAGAGGGAGCGGATCTAGTCTCTCTTGCTCCGAATTGCAAGACTAGATCTAATGGGTGGAAATTACAAGGGAGTCGATACCGGCTAAATATCAGGAGAAACGTCCTAACTGTAAGGGTGGTTGAGCAGTGGAACAGTCTGCCTCGGGAGGTGGTGGGGGCTCCTTCGCTGGACATTTTCAAGCGGAGGGTGGACGACCATCTCTCAGGTATGTTGTAGGTATGTAGGGCTATCTTTTGGCTGTGCTCCTGCAGAGTGCAGGGGGTTGGACTAGATGACCTGCAAGGTCCCTTCCAACTCTAACATTCTATGATTTTATGAAAGGGGAGCGGTGGTTCCTCCATTCCTACCACAAACTTCATCCCTCTCCCAATGGCAAAAGAAAGAAGGAAGGCACCCAGGCCGTGAACATCTCAGACTATTCAGTCCAAACGAGATGAACCAGTGTGGCGTAGTTGTTAAGATGGTTCAAGTGGTTTATTTATTTATTTATTTTTGGATTTATATCCCGCCCTCCCCGAAGGCTCAGGGTTACAGTGTCACACTAGGATTAAAGTGTCACACTGGGATCTGGGAGACCCAGGTTCGAATCCCCACTCTGCCAGGGAAGTTTGCGGGGGACCGAAAAAGCCGTCTCTCTCTGGCTCCCTGCCTTCCTAAGCATCTCTGCAGAACAACTTCGTCAGGATCACACTGAGAGATGATTTGTCTCCAGTGGAGATCTGGCGGCACACGACGATGTATTGTCTCTTTTTGTTTCCTGTCTCCACCCCAGGTTTCTCATGTGGTGGACGAATGTCTGGAATTCAGAGCTTACAAGTATTTTGAGGCTGGTCTCGTTCAGCCGGGGTCCGTCACGGTGTACAGCTACTACTCCCTGGGTAATGGCAACCACTTTTCTTCCTCGCAGAGATTAAACTGCATAATACCAAATCAGCACTTTGCAAAAAGGTTTCCAAAGCATTTATTTCCTCCATTTTAATCAGTGCGATCCCATGAAATGAATCCCAGACTCCAAAACAGGCACAATGGACAGGGTTGCTAACCTCCAGGCGGTGGCTGGAGACCCCCCCAGAATTACAATTGATTTCAAGAGTACAGAGATCAGTTCCTCTGGAGAAAATGGACTCCATGGCGTTGTACCCTGCCGAGTCCCTCTGCTCCCCAAACCACACCCCTCCCAGGCTAAGCTGCCAACCCCCCAGGAATTTCCAAACTCAGAGCTGGCAACCCTAGCAAGAGACCTCCCTGATCAGCTCTCTGCTCTGGCTCCCAAACTGCAGTGCCCCACCACGAGCACAGCATCCAACCAGCAGTCCTGACTCCTCCACTTACACCTGGCTGGATGACTTTGGGCAAGCCGTAGTTCTGATAAGAGCTGTCCTTGAGAAAGAGCAGTTTCTCTCAAGAGCTCTCTCAGTCCCACCTATCTCACAGGGGGTGCCTGTTGTGGGGAGGGGAAGGGAAAGGAGTCTGTAAGCTGCTCTGAGACTCCTTTGGGTAGTGAAGGGCCATGGGGTATAAATCCAATCTCTTCTTCTTCATCTTCCTCCTCCACTTGCACCTGCTAGATGACCTTGGGTAAGCCATAGTTCTGCTAAGAGCTGTCCTTGAAAAAGAGCAGCTTCTGTCAGAGCTCTCTCAGCCCCACCTGCCTCACAGGGAGTCTGTTGTGGGGAGGGGAAGGGAAAGGAGTTTGTAAGCCGCTCTGAGACTCCTTTGGGTAGTGAAGGGCCATGGGGTATAAATCCAATCTCTTCTTCTTCATCTTCCTCCTCCACTTGCACCTGCTAGATGACCTTGGGTAAGCCATAGTTCTGCTAAGAGCTGTCCTTGAAAAAGAGCAGCTTCTGTCAGAGCTCTCTCAGCCCCACCTGCCTCACAGGGAGTCTGTTGTGGGGAGGGGAAGGGAAAGGAGTTTGTAAGCCGCTCTGAGACTCCTTTGGGTAGTGAAGGGCGGGGTATAAACCCAATC